TCCCGTCACCGAAACCATCCCCGAAACGGTGGTAAGCCGGGAATTCCCGCGATGGGTGCACATGACGGAGCCCATCTACTATTTCCGCCACACGCACGCGCCCGTCAGCGATGGGACGGTGGAGGCGCGGGCCACCCTCACCTGGACCCTGAACCCCCAAATCGACAACGAGGCGCTCTTCAGCTGCGAGGTGAAGCACCCGGCCCTCTCCATGCCCATGCAGTCCGAGGTGACGCTTGGTAAGCGCGGCTGGGTTTGGGGCGGTTTCTTGGCTTTTTTGCCCTTTTTGCCCATTGTTTGGTTTTTTTCTTTCCCCTGGCTGGGGCTCCCCTACCTTCTCCTGGTTCCCCATCAGAAGAGGCTGAGCTCTCCACTGGGGTAGCCGCAGCTTCAAGGCGCTGTCCTGGGCAGGCTGCTCCAGCCTTCCTCCCCTCGAGCCGGGTGGAGAAGACTGGGCTTTGCTCCTGGCCAAGTAGGGCACTTGGCTCGCTGCATCAGCAATGATGCACCATCTCCCGGAGAGCTTCGCCTCGTTGGCTTTCCACCCGTCTTTGGCACAGCCTTCAGCATGCACAAGCCTCTCAATGCTGGTGCTCCGTCTCTTCAGCTCATCAGCCACCTCAATTAGTGGGAGGTTGGCAGCAACGAGGAGGTCGACGGGAGGTTGACAGTCAACAAGGAGGGCAGCAGCTCTCTTGCTAATAGAGGGCCCTCCATTATCTGTTCCTCCCCACCAAGCATTAAAGCTCGCTCCCAGCATACAGTCAGCCAAAAAATAACCCAAAAGTCCTGCATTTTCACACCTTCTGCAGCTCGGCAGGCTTAGGGGTCCACTCTCTGGGGCTGCCCGAGGCCAGGACCTCGATGGCTTGCTACTTCTTCCGCAGAAGCTCAAATACAGTCATGGCAAAGCTCACCCCACACTGACCCCCAAATCCACAGCTCTCCTCATCCTCTAAGAGTCCTCCAGCCTATGCACCCCCCTGGGCGCCCACCACCACCATCCACACCCAGTTTTTTGGCACCACCACAGCAGATCCCCCATTAACATGTACATAAATAGTATATACACACTATATATAGATATTCTCAATAAAAGCTGCACTGAAACCAAGACAAACCCCTTGCTTTGGTAGAGAAAGCAATCTTTTGGTACAAACCATAGCATGGAGTAATCGTCTGCAGCCCACCGCCCCTGCTCCAACACCGGAGGGCCGCATCCTGCATGGGTATTGCAGTCCAGGTGCCCAACCGTGGTCTCTGGTGTGTGTCCATGTGGCGCGTCCTGGGCCACGGATGCCCTTTCTGACCCTTTCCAAGGGCCAGCGTTCACCACCACAGACTGATGAGCTTTCTGGTGGCTGTTTGTCCCTTTGAGTCATGCTGGGATGATGTCCAGGCTCAGCCCCTCCAAGCCACGGCAGTGCTTGAATATACAAAGGATGACGCACCCACTTTTGGCAAAGCACCACCTCCCTCCTGCCCCTTTTCCCCTTCCAGCCCGCAAAAGGCTCCTTCCGTGCAAAGACCAGGCAGCTCCTGGGGCTGTCCCATCCCACCCATGGCCCAGGAGGGACATCCAACAACCCCGACCCAGCTGGCAGCAGGGAGCAGACCCGGCGTGGTGTCACCCCACCATGGCTGGCTGTATCGCTGCTGCTTCTCCCCACGCACCGGGCAAGGGCACCTCAAGTCTGGCACGAGAAAAGGGGTCCCCTCCTTTTTACAGGGCTGTGCTTGGCATTTTGTGCCAACAAGGCTCTGTGGCCGTCTCCCATGCTCATGGCACTTGTGGGCAACTCACCGAGACCACCTTGTCCTGGGGATGATTTCTGAGGTGCCCATCTCCACGGCTTCAAACCAGCCTGACCCCTCTCAACCCCTGTTTCTGAGCAGAGAAGAGCTTGGTTAGGAAATATGTCCTTCACCATCAATGCAGCCCGTTACAGTCATCTATCAATCTCGCAATCTTCCTGTTCGTCTGCCTGCAGGGTCCTCGCCTACCTGTCTATCAGTCATTGGGACATCCGTCAGCCTGCCCATCAATCACCGAGCCATCAGCCCCCCCAGGCTGGCACACGCTGTCCTGCCCCCTCACCACCATCGTTCATCAAACCGTCGTTAACCCCAGCCAAGGGCACCCACCGGGACCGCTGTGCTCAGCTGATGTCCCTTCTTGTCCCCTTCCCTTGCAGTTGCTCCCAAGGGCCCGAAGATCACAATGACCCCGACGAGAGCCCGTGTCGGAGACACTGTGCGGATCTTGGTGCAGGGCTTCCAGGTCAGCAT